CATCTCGCCGGCAATGTAATTGCCACCAAGAAGTCGACTTGGATGTCACCAACGAATAGCTCTGAAATAATTGACACAGTTTAATAGCTAGGATTTTGTAACCTAAGATTTGTAATTTTTCTTCAAGCTTGTTCGAATTTAAAGTCGACGCATGCAAGTACTAATAAATAGGTTCTGTGAATGTAGACTTTAACATTTGAGAGATTGAAAAACTGACAGAAACGTTTCACAACCACTAGTCGTTTCTTTGAAATATGAAAATAAAGTAACGGTTAAGAAATTTCCGTTCATGAAGGTTCAAAACTATGCTAAGCTAAGTTCTATTCTTGGTGGTGAGGTGAACAGATACCCTAAGGAATGAAAAAGGAACTGTAAAATATAGCAGATAATTGTCTCGATCTCTCTTCCGAGGACTCAGTTTTACATGCACCATACATGTAGTACCCTGCTGTCATATGGAAAATAGCTGACACCACCAAAATACTATTGCATTTTTGTTTTCCGCCAGTCTTCTTTGACGTCTTGAACATTCCCCCAGCTGCTTCACGCACTCGAAGGTGATAATCAGAGACATGTCAAAACCTTTTTTCTTTGTTAGCCAGCGAGAGCATTTCCTGAGGGCGAGACCTATATGTTTGCCCACCCACACCTACAGACTCGCGGTAACTGAAAAGCGGATAAGCGCTGATCCAGGATTAAAAAACTAATTTAAGATCGTTTTACCTTCCTTTAGAGTTCTTTTCCGGGCGATGATCTTGTGTTACCATAACTGGATCTCGGAGTAAAGGGTCAACAAAATTGTAAATCTCCAGTAGTGGCGGATCCAGGGGACCCCCCCCCCCCATTCTTAGACCAAACTGTGGTCTGAAGGGCCGAAAATTTTTTTTTTTTTGAAACTGCTCCCCCCCCCCTCCCCTTATCCGGCACTGTCCAGTTACACGTTCTTAGACAAGAAAGCGAACTGTGAAGTTATATACAAGAACCACTGAAACAAACAGCTGCGAGGAGGAGCTGGATCTTGTATTATACGCTCTGTATGTCTCAAGAGTGACCAACATCAATTTTCTCCTAACAACATCAACAGATCATCAAGAGTAAAGGTTATGAGAATTTATAAATTGATTACCAAAGAGAGAATGCTTTGATCTTAAACCAAATTCTCTCAACTATTCATAAAAGACATGTATGGAGATCAGTCTGGAGAATTTGTATGTGGATCGTGTGGCTTAAGGTTGAACGGACGGCTATGGATGGCTATTGCCCAATATTTCGGTTAGGCAAAACTGACCTTCATCAAGGGCTAGTTAGGGAAACTTTTTTTGGGTTTTTCTAGCCCTTGATGAAGGTTACTTTTGTCTTACCAAAATATTGCGTAAATAAATTCCTTATCCATTAGCTGTCTAGCCTGAATTTCATCCGATTACTTCAAGTCATGATTACCCCTCAGTAACGTTTGAATTGACCGACATTAATGCCGTCCAGTGACGTCACTACTCCTTGACCTTTGCTTTAATTCATGCAAAAAGTAAAACACGATTTTCAAGTGGCAAACCGAGAAATATCGTTTGGAAATGTCTGCATGATACAGAATTGCTTTATTTTTTTCGATCGTAATTCATGTTTAACATTCAAACTATCAATTATGCAGTACAACTCTGAACCGGTTGTACTGGATTCTATAATCAAACTGGGTCGCAATCAAGGAATGAAATAAACACACACACGGAACACTTAGTTCAAAAACACAATGATTTGCTTTAATTGAAAAGAAGCTATTTGGTCCTTAACGAAGGGAAAAAAAATAAGGAACAAGAAAGAAAAGCTAACAGAATCATTACACTTGACGATTAAAATAGCAAGAAGGTCGAAACATAACATTGATCTCAGAAAACTTCGCGTAAACAAAATCACCGGCCGCCGAAACCTCAAAGCAGCTCCGCAATGATTCTTCATTCGCAGTTCAATTCGAAGACAAGGGCAATTTTGCTGTTTAAGTTAAAGATTAAGCTTATGGAAATGTTTGAAGTACACGAAAGAATGCCAGGGATGCGATCGGTTGAATATCAAGCGACAATCCCATTAAAATTTTTCATGATTATACATAATTATGCTTATGTTAAGACAATCAACCAATCAAAATCACTACCCGGTTTTCGGGTAGTGAGTGACGACACTGGACGGCATTAACGGCCGGTCGATTCAGACGTTACTGAGGGAGTAATAACGACTCGAAGTAATCGGATGAAATTCAGGCTATTTGCTGTCAGCCTTGTCGTTAATTTGAAGTTGTAGACAAGAAAGCGTTGCTTTTAACTCGGCTTTACTGCGTGCTGGCTCCTAAAATAAACCAGCAGAGTATCCTGAGATTTTACGGCTTCTGCTTGAGTGTCCTGTGCAACCTTGTCCCCAGGGCTTCTCGTTCTACAAAATGGCGGAGAAAAGCGCCAACAGTAAAACTAGAATAGCCTGGGGCGAAGTTGATCATTATCAAGTCAAATGTCTCTTGGGATGAGTACAACAGCCATGGCCTCCACGAAGGGGCATACAGTGTCTGCCATTACGCACGTGAGCAACTGAGGAAAATGCCCAGATTTAAAGTAAAAAACGCAGAAAGAGAATGACGCAATGGCTGTAAAAAGTGAAATAATTGTCCTAAGAAAATACAGTCATTTCCCCGATTTTGCCACAGGCGATCACGAAAATGATGTTGCTGTTTGTTACTTGCTGAAGTCGGTGAACGTCTGATTGCGATTTGTGAGACGGAGCTAGGGTGATTCAGCATACTGTGCGTATTTGGAAAGTTCCCTATTGCTTCCCCCTGCCGCGGATACAAGTTTCGCACATTTTAGCGACTTAACAGCGGCGCTCGAACATGTTGTTCTTGAAGGGTTATCGAAATTCTTTATCCAGGTAGCGTGCATTCTATCTTTCTTTAAGATTCAGCAACAAAAACATTGACTATCTCGTTTCCTGCCTTCACAGTTTTGCTTTTTTTTAACCTTTTGTCCACTCCAAATTTCGTTGGTTTGCCCTTTGTTCCCTCTTTCTCTCATCTTCCACACCCCCGCGCACCCGCATTTTAGTAAATATCCAAAAAACGAAGAATTGGCATGAAGATACACGGTGTAGCTTCATGATTCGGACTTTTGAAAGAGCGGCAGCTCAAATGTTTTTATTCCTCATGGTTTTTTTGCTGATGCAAAAAAACCGCAAGCTTTATTTTTGTTTCTGATTCAATTTCGATACCGGAAATTGAAGCACAAGACCCCAGAAATATTAATTGATAACGATTTCGCCCTGCAAGCCAATCAAGAATTTTGATAAACGTGAAATCGAACCCAGTTTGCTAAGGCACTACAAAACCTACTATTAGTACCAAGACAAGACGTTAAATTAGATCGCGTTTTGCTAAAACGGTCTGAATTGTGAACAATTTCTAGTCGTGCAATTCATGTGAAAGTACTATTTGGGAGAAAAGGGAAAAACAGGAATTTAAAAGGGTTCTTTATTCGCCTGATGTGAAGTGTCATTACTTTTAATTACGGCTTATGCTAATATTTTGACTTTCCTCTACGTTTTCTAGAACCCTACACACCGATCATAAGTAAACAGACGTTCGTGTACGTACTTGTTTTTTTGATTTTTGTTCTCTGCGTATCAGTTTGATCAAACTTTCTCTATGCGAATATAAATGTTTCCATTTTAACCGGTACTCGGAGAACTTCAGGGCTTTTGCTGATTACCATCAAAAGGTACTTGCTCCACAAGATCTAACATCATATGTATACTGTATTAAAATAGTTTTGAGTTATTTTAAGTATACCAGTGAATCAATAGTATACAAGTCAAATATTGTTATAACCTTGGTAATATGCCAAAAAAGTGGACGAACCGTTGTGAAAAAAAAAAATTAAGGCATGACATTTTTATTTTTCTATAATTGGGAGCTTATCTAATACCTGGTGTGGCCCCGAGGCTGAGGAAACAATTTGATCACTAAACCTTGTTCTTATCGATGTCGCTGAAAGCCGTTTTGAATTTAGAAAGAGCCAGAACGAAAAAAAAAAGGAATCAATCAAACATAAAACGTCTTCAGAGACTTCAGAATCCAAGACTAGAGATAAGTTGTTACGTGTCAACATTGATGTCTGAATCCGCTCTGGCACACATTCTGCCGGCTTTTTGCGATGTCGAGCGATCAATTCTTTTCTATCGTCAAAAATTAACGAGGGATTTGTTGCTATGGGAAATTATCTCTTCTTGAAAAATGTTTTAAAAAGTGAAAGTTGAAACACTAAAAATCCACCCTCTCGAGCATGTTATCGAAACTGAATTTAGGGGAAAATACCTAACCGTGGAGAAACCGAAGGAGCTATTGAATAAAATAATCTAGTTGCTGAAGGATTCTTAAACGCTTTGTACCATTTGCCTTAAATACCTTTTATTCCAGTTTAGTAAGCTATTTACAGTGACGATTTGTTCCATCAACTTAGTTTTATTTACATTTGACATGTTGGATCCACATGAGCTAGTTTATCCGGCTTCAAACCAAAGCAGAAAAATTTCTCGAAATTAGCTACGCTAAAAATACCACGGTTGTTAGGAACCGAGACCTGGACAGCGTTGGAAATTTCTTTAACTTAAAACAAACATAAATTTAAAAACATTTCTTAAGAAAGGAACTCATCTTGTTTCCTCCTGTACCTACAAAGAGTTTCAGATACTCGTGGCTTTCATAAAGGACAAGCGTATTTATCTTTCTGCTCCGGCTTCATCGGCACGAAAGGTTTAAATAAACTGAAACCATACTCGAAACAAAGCAGTTTCTTTTTCCAAGAAGTTACTTTGAATGCCAGCTTAGGTTTTGTTTGCTTCATGCGCTTGGGTTAAGGCCCCAGAATTTACAATGCCCACTCCACTCACTTCTCTTTTTTCTTGTCCATATTCGGCATTTCGAAACTGAGAAACGTTTAAACTGAGCCCTTATCCCCAGAAACAATTTACGGATTTGAACAGCAATGTGTAGCGGCCCGTCTACGAACGTCGAAGAATCCCAGCGCATTGAGTCGCGGGTCAGAGCTGTATCGTGAGTACACAGTTTGCTCGCTCCATGGTATAGTCATATCTGTGGCAGCTACGTTGTTGAATGGGGTCGTTGAACCGTACACATTATAGTAAGCTTGTTCATATTGTTTTTTGAACAGTGCTGCATCTTCTTCCCCTCGTGCATATTCATTCAAAACGGCAGGAGTTAATACGATGGAGTTTCTTCTCCTTTGTCTTACGATCGGTTCGGAGTTGCTTCTCGCCCGTCCACACTGGAGCGTTGTTTCATTCATTTCCGAAATACTGTTGCAAACCATTTCCCGCGAATGCGCGGATAATTTCGAGTTCTTGTTGGAAGATCACTGGCGAAAGCTGTTTGTGCAGATATAAAATAATGCCTTGAACGCGTTAAGTCTTGTTTAGAGACAAATTTTTTCTCGTACACTCGGTGAACTTGCCTTCCTTGTTTAAACTCCTTTTACCACTGATGCCGCCTTTGTCCCTGGTGTACTGTGCTCATCTCTGCAACAGAATTAAAGGATTATGATTATTATAGAAACTGTGATGCACTCATAATCTTGTGGCTCTTCTAAATTTAGCTATCTATTCAGATGAGCTAGACTTTCAGTATTGTTTGCTTACTGAAAAGGTCAGTTAAAAATAGATTTATACAGCTCCGCCTCTGAAAAATAAATTCTAAACTCTCGCGGCAATGTACTTGTAAACCACAACACCTCCTACAGGTTTAGATAAAGCAAGATTTCTACTCACTGATAAGGTGCTTGCCCAGTCAAAACTTTGAAGGTTTTTGTAGAAAAATAACGAAGTAAAAAGACTTAATTTATTCATTCATTTCACAATGTTATCAAGCCACGCTTGTTTCATTATTTATTCCGCGAGAAAGAAGAATAATAAGGCGACACTTCTATTTTTAGCTGCAGCTAAATCCCTTAAACAAAAGAACGCTTTTCGTTACCTGGCGACGCGGTATTAGCGAGTTTAGGAAGAAGTCCCTCACAACCTTCGCACTTTAAAATCGTGTTAAAAAAAGAAATTTTAACTCTTTCTGCCGCTCCGATATACAAAATTATTTATAGTTCTTCAGAAATACAAAAAAAATGCTTGCGGTGAAACTTTCCTTTCATTTTCAGCGTGTGTCAATAAGAAAAACAATTAAAACACTAATGCTTTGACAAGTCAGCTGGCCGCGAGAGCTCATTCAGCTGCTCTCGCGTGTTCTTTACCAATATTTGAACTATTGGCAACTGATAATAATTCATACATATTTTTTTGCTTTATTTTTTGTTTTTTGGGTTTTCTGTAACTTCTCATTATTTTTTTGCTTAACATCCGGGGACTTTCAATCATACACGCTTTTTGAATAACGTTTGAACTACGTACTTTCATGGGGAAATTCATCATAAAAGCTCGTGTCAAGATGTTTTTAAGGTATGACAAGATGGAAGATCGGCGTTGAGGGAAAAATATTTATTTCCTTGTATAGAAAATTCGTTTATTGAGCTAACTTAAATATTTGCCTTCAAGTCTGGCGCAAAATATGCAACAAAAACTGTACTTTTTAAAATTTCACCAATTAGCGGAAAACCGCGTCGGCAAACAAAGAAAGTTGGTAGAAACAAGAGAATGAATTTCTTGCCGTTATGGACGTTAGATTTAAACCACGATATGATAATTACAATCTTTCCGAAAGCTAAATGTCGGGAGAAATCTTTCAACCACATCTATTTCATAAAATGAAAACGATAACATGTGGATTATCTTATGTTTGTTCATATCTTGCAGCTTCGATATTATAATTAAGCATCACAAGACTTAAACATGTGTCTGTCGAGTACGAATTGCTTCTATTACTGGACATTTTTTGGCAGCTATTAATAAAATATATAACAAGGTGCTCTCCGAGAAACCATTAAACGCCATATAAGGAAAGAGTTTTCACCATAACAACTTGGCCATAAATATATTTAATAAAATGAAGTAATTTTAAGGCGAAATACTGGCAAACGTGCCTCATATAAGGCCGGCTTTTTTTCATTCATTTATTTTCCGTCCTGTCTCTCAAACTTACTGATTGTTACTTCCTCGTGTTCGGCATTTACGTGATTGTTGAGGGGTAATTTGTTGGAGCAAAACAACCGCTGTGCATTTCTGTTGGGTGTTGACAGTAGGGACTCGCAAAATAACTAGCTGTTTCCGTTTGTCCCAGTAGCAGTCATTAGCAGGGAAATTCAAAAAGTGAATAAAATTCTCATGAACCATGTCGAATGTGCCTAAGCTAATCAGAAACATTAAAATGATGAAAATAAGATTAAAGAGAAAAGAATTATTTTCTTACTCCTGGATTTCCAGGGTTAGTGTATTTGATGCTGGGCCAGTACTACTAAATAACAGATACGATCGATATTTGGGTTTTATAACCGAACATGATTTACTGTTCTACTGCAAAATATCGGCTGTTTTGATAACGTTCGATACTCCTCACGTGCGTAATGCATTGTCGAAAAAGTTTTGGTTTTGAACTGTTAGACGATATGAGAAGCTAAGAAAATTGGCGCCAGTTTCTCAGCCAATCAGTAGTTCATCCAAAATCCCGAGGGTAATCGCTGACTAACATGCAGGCTTTTCCCGCGCTCTAGTGTCAGCTTCAAGTATTTGCTTAAAGTCGTTCTGATTGGTTCATTTGTGGGAATTGTTCGTGTTAGCGTTGTGATTGGCCATTGGAGTGATAATTTTGGCTCCGGCTTGGATTGCGAGCCAACATAAATACGCCGGAAAACAGGCGTTTACCTACACAGTATATTGAGTATATATATATATATATATATCTATATATCTCTTTCTCAACCATTTAACTTTAATAAATAGTAGTTTATTTATAAAACTTCCTTCAGTTAAGGTTTCAAATTCACCTCCTGATTTTGTGTTATCCGCCTTTCTTGGGTGCGGGGAAGAGCCGTCGAGCAAGCCCTGGCTTTTTTGGTTTCCGCTGGACGTCGAAAATAGGCACAAGAACAAGTGAGAGACTTGTATTTTTAACGCAATATACTGTCCCCTGAGCGAACAGTATCGAGCAAGTCGCTGGCGCTTACTCCGGCGGCTAATTTTAGGTCAGCCTGCCAAATATAGCCCGCCTTTTAAGAATGGCGCTAAATGGAATGAAAAAGCGCTTACATTTTTCGTAACGTTCTTCACTATTACATAAAAAACGATGAGCCAGTATAGTAATACCAGATCATGAGAGATACCATCAATAGTTGAGTTTTGCCGGATCGAATTTAATAACATTCCTATATTAGTCCAGAATAAGTGTAAAAATTGGCACTTGATCTTGTCATCAGTGAGACAGAACAACTCTTTATACTTCCTCTGGATCGAAAATTTATGTGGCGTGGTTTAAGATGGTAAACAACAGGTGACAACAAGTCGCGTTTTCTGTCACGTGTTGTTAAGCCCAAACCTGCGACACTCTCAGGATGTCCAAAATAACTAGCCAATCACATTAGTCTAACATGAAAAAGAAGAATTGCAGCAACTGAATATTGCAGAAGCTGAGAAGAACCAATTATGTAAAGAGCCCATCAAAGGCTCCTGATTATGTACAAAACAACGGTGAAATTACCAAATGGTAGGCGGATAAATAATTATTAATTCATGCTTTTAATAGCTATATAGTTCTAAATATTTCTTTCTGGCTAATCTTACCATTTGTAAACAATGTAGGCTTCTGCACTAGGAGTCTGAGGTTAAGTTGTAAAAGTCCGCATGGGGTTTTTCACTTCAGTGACCCATCTTCCAACCCAAATAGCCATCTTATTTTTCAGCAATTTGTATTATAATTGCTTATGCCATAAATAATTAATCAATCTATCAATCAATCAATCAAGTTTTCATTGTGCCTAACGCTTCGCGCGCTAGCTCTTCGTCAGAAGTCAGAATCCCAAACTCTTCTAGTTCTTCGGCTTAATAAATGCTCTTCTATGGATTAATTCACTCTGGCGAACGGTCAGAAGGCTAGCGTGCGCGCGTCCGCTTCTTCCCTACAGTGGCCATATCAACGAAATCTTTGCACTGATCGAAAAGAAGTCAAAAGGCACGCCTGCTTATCTGGTCGCCGTCTGAGAGTTTTAGCCTGGTTTTCATTAGTCTGCTACACAGCCGTTTTTAGTGTCGTCACGCAACGCTCCTCCCCACAAATCTGGAGAATCGGGAGCGTTTCTATTTTCCCGACGCGTCCCAGATTTCTGCGATGGTCGGCGATCATTCCCGACAAATGAAAGCTCAAATTTGTATCGTCGGGGACGTGGGCGATGGATTTCGCTCATTACCAATCCCCCAAATTGCTGGGCTCCAGTCCCCACATCACGCATGTTTCATTCTTCAATTTTTGGCGCACTTTCATTTCCAGCCAAATTCATCGGGGAGAATCAGAGAGAGAATTGTGGCGATTATCCGACATATCTGGGACGGTCGGCAAAAAGTGAAAGCCCCGATCGTCTGGGATTTTCCCGACATATGAAAACCAGGCTTTTAAAAGCACCTTGCCGCACCTGTTTTGTTTATCAACCGAACCCGAAACAACTTATCCCAAGTAAAGCAAGGCAACTAAAGTGATATTATTTTTTGGCCGCCTTCGTTGTCACTGTTGTGTTTTGGGCCCAGCTCCTCGAAAATTAGGCTTTCTGTAAGTCCGTTTTGGTTGGTTTATAGGTCAGGAGGGACTTCTAGCGACCATTACAGCTCAAAAAAAAATTCGGCTTGCGGGCAGGGTACTTAAGCCTAAACCAAGTTTTAAGCAATTACTGTCTTGCTTTACCTTAGCCTTTCTTCCGAGGCCCAGTTACAAGGAACTAGTAGTAAATGAATTTTAAGTGTGCTATTTTTGCGGGTAAATGAATTTGGGTTAAAAAAAAATTTAGACCGCAAAACAGGTTGCGTGTGTGTGTGTGTTATTTTTTCACGTTAAAGAATACGCGTGCAGTCAAACGAAAGATTTACGGGTGTGGTAAATCGACTTTTTTGCAGTCTAATTACAAAGGCGGAATAGCGCTTGTTGGCCTTTCAGAAACCACGCCCTGAACTTTTGGTTACGACATTGTTGGTGCGACTGGACTCAACTGTTCCAAAAGGAGCTTAGCGCAATTCGAAGTTTATTCAGTACCAGGAGTGCCACAGCAAAGTTTGACGTTAAACCTGGATTAGATAGTACCGGGACGTAAAAAACTCAGCCTTGATTGGCAGGAGGAATGAACAATCTAGCCTGCGTAGCTGGTTGGCGGGAGTGAATGGAAGGGGTGGGTGGGGAGGACCGAGAGGGAAGGCCAAAATATGACGAAAGTCGGTCTCTCTACGAAATGCATATTTGAGCTATCTAGAGATTTTTCTCCATATCTCGCCACAAACTTTTCCAGTTTAATTAGCATTATCTAAATTTGCATTTATTACAGTATTTGCTAAGATTCTACCGTTAAAAACAGCAACGCTCTTTTGTTGTTACATGTTACTGTGTCTGGTTTCTTACGCAGCCGTCAACAAACAGAAGATTGAGTATTATAATCTTTTCACGCCAGTGAAAAATACTTAGATGATTTAAAAGTTGACCGGTTATTTCGCCAACGCCTTGTTTCGCCATCGTCCCTTTCGCAAACAGCTTAAGTCGTTTCCCTTACGAAACAAAACGAGCGCTACACATGTATATACCTCGCTCTTTCCGCTATAATTCGTAAAAGTCTAATACATAGTGTACAACTCGTTGTTTTAGCCAATGATTAGGTTAATGAAGTTGGGGGACTGACCTAGCACTTTTGCGAAACGACTTAATACGTTAGCGAACAGAACGTTGGCGAAACGAGTTGTAGGCAAAACAACCGTAAATCATGTTCAGTGGATGGCAACAGAATCTGACAACTTATAAACGGGGTGTGGCCTTAATACTCAAATGTAATTTTATTTCTTATTTTGGCTTTTACACCACCAGTGGTTAATTTCTTTCCATTACGATATAAGGATAGTTTAAAATTGTTTTAAAACTAACAAGTTAATTTATAAAGCACGTTTCAGATCTAAGGTCTCTTGGGACCAATACGAGATGAAAAATAAAAGGATCACGAAAAGAAACAAAGAAATCTTAGCAACCTATCCTGACACTTTCAAAACGGCAATGCTATTAGTATAAACTTTTTTCACGGTAAATTCTTTTTACAACTTAACATGTAACATTTTGGCCGAGTAACGGCTTACGATAACCCCAATTACGATCTTCTTGTTATTTTCTTGTATAGACTCGTTCTTTCATTCTGTTTCGACGTTTTAGCAGACATCCGCAATCGTCGCTTTTAATTTAGAGTGTTTTCTCTGTCACACTTCGATTTGCCATCTGTCGAGGTTTTGACAGAGGAACCATTTTCTTGAGGATATTATGCCAGTCATGAAGGGAAAACTGTAGAATTCTTTCGACACCCTCTATTGAGGTGGCATCAGAGTACTACAGTGTTTCGGTAGCCATAGTATTCGTAGTATCTGTAATGCATCCAACAGAAGAACAATATTAACAAATCAGGATATTTTCTAGGACTCTTGAAACAAAAAAGCAAGGTAATGACGAATGTAGCATGTTATCCTGGAAATTCAGAACTGTGCACAACCTGAACGTGCTTTAGTACTTTGGGCCCCTGAGTAAGTTTGCCGTCGCCGTGTAGAGCATGTGATGAATCTACCATCGTTTAGCTACGGGGCTTTATACTATTAAAAAGCACTCCCATAAATTTCTGATAGGTGTGTGTGTGCTGCCCAGGGTCTTAAACTCCGAACCTATTTAACTAAAGTTGAAACAAACAAAAATTGGCACCCTAAGTAAGGCTCAAAACCGAACACGACTTCCTGTTCGAGGGAAAAAACAAAAGAAAAGAATTTAACAGCTACACAAACCTTTATTAAATCGCTTTCACCATTCTAACAGATGAATTGTTTCTTATGTAGCTGCACAAATACACACTTGTATTTTAGCTGATACAGTTTGAGTACCCTATCAAACGATCACACTGGGAAGACAATGCCAAAATGGGAAAAATGATACCCTTTTAAGGATCGAGATCCTCAAAAGCTATACCCTATAGGGCAGCATATACGTATCTAGTCCATATATCAGAGTTTCCCCCCTGGAATGACAGTCATTCCAGTATCATGTTAATAGCCCCTTATAAAGAGTCAGAGAAGGCAGAGATCAACTCTAGGCATCCTTTTTAGGGAGGTACATGGTCATGTCTAAGAGGTGTTACTTTAGCCTGCGTGACAGGCGCAAAATGGGGAGGGGGAGGGGGAGGGGGAGGGAGAAAGGGAAAAAGGGAAGGGTCCCCTCTCCCTCTTCCAAATCCCCCTCCCCTCTTTCCCTTCCTCCCTATCCCCTACCCCCTACCCCCTACTCCTTTCGACGCCTGCTACGCAGGCTATGTTACTTAGGAGAATCAGTTCTAAACAATTAATCAAAGTTTCATATTCACCTGTTCTTATGTGAGTTGAGTGGAAGCGGCTCTTTTCTCTTCAGTTTTGGTTGTTTCTTTTTCTTCTTTGCTGCATTTTTAGCTGCTTCTTCTTGTTTCTTTTTTCTTAGCCACCTGTTACCATTAATCACACATTAGAATAAACTATAATCACACACATAACTAAGGCCAAGTTCAAACGTTGAATTTCACATATGCCAAATTTAACTCAAGAATTACATTGTAACTGCAAGTGGGAAGTGACGTCTGAATCACTTAAATTTGACCTTTTCAAATTAAATATGACTTTGCCAAACCTGAAACTGAAACAGTAGAAGATCTGTCATAGTCTCGACATTTGATTCAGACATCGCATTTCACATTATGTCGAATGTAATACAGTAATTATAGAATTAAGAAACTACTATCCATACTGGATAACAAGTTGTTTTAGAGATGAGGAATATTTACAACTTGAAATGATGTTAAACTCGGCATCATTATATTCCATGTTTAAATTATTAAATCAACTGCCGTATTTACATGTCTAATTATTTCAGTCAACTAAAATAGGAGTTAAATTTGGCACATGTGAAATTCGATGTTTGAACCAGGCCTTAAGATAAAAATCTCACAAAACTGTATACATACACATGGCTCTATAATGGGCTAGAACAAGCTAACAAAGATGGATATTACAAAAAATTAGTAATTATTTGGATGGGACCAGAAACTCATAAGGGGTTGATTCAACCCCTTATGAGTTTCTGATGGGACAGAAAAGGCAATAATTTTGGGGAAAGAAAAAATTATGTAAATCTTTGTCTATAATAGAAGTGCAAATTTGCTGCGTTAGATATTTTACAAATGAAAAGGTCTCCACTCAAATAATCAATCCACCAATGACATTTCCAGTCTTCATAGCCGATAACATCACAGGTTGACTGACAGACTTCCAGTAACAGACATAACATCAATTGACCAATCAGGTCAATCACCAAACTTTGTTGCTCGCTTGATCACTGCACGACCTCATGCGATATTGAAGCTTGCTTCACTCACTTTTACGAACTTCTGAGAGGTCAACTTGTAGCAAGACTAGACTGAGGACAGAGGATTGAAAATTTGGACTATTAAGAAAACCTGTTTAAGGCTTGTGTCATGAGGGTGAGACTGGAACCTGTATGAGTACTCGTGAGTCTGATGTGCTGACCACTTGGCTTGTCTGCCCCCAAGTCTTAACAATAATGCTCTGTTCCAAGATTCAACCCCTCACTTTTGCACAATTACCCTTTAGACCAAAAAGGAACTCAAATACCTACTAAAGAAGCATTTTGGTTAACACAAAATGGAAATGAACTCTGCTAACAACTGATTACTGGTAACCTCTCCAAATGCTTAACAGACCATCTCTCAGGTGGATCTCTTTGAGATACTTTGAAAGACCCATTTTAATACCTTATAGTGAATAGCAGTTTTCCCCCTCTCCTTACCAGCATTTAGAAGTACCTAGTATAGCTCATGCATGAAAAGGGTACATAAGTTGTGCTCCTTTCAGCAGCATCCCCGTAAAGTCCATCATACAGAGTATCCACCCCAGGATTTGAATATTTACAAGTTAGGAGTAGATTAAGAAAAGTTAGGGGAGTAGGTTTCCATGGTTACCTTCTAAAAGCTTCATCGCAAAGTTGCCGATCTCGAATTGCATACTGGGCTGCTTCATCAGCTCTTCTCCTCCCTTCCACTTCTTGTAAAGCTTTGTCTTGTTTTCTTTTCATTTCTAGCCATTCAGTGTATGCAGTATTTGCCTCTTTAAGTCTTTCTACTTTCTTCTGTTTTTCTATACTTGGATCTGGCTGGTTTAACCTGGCCTGATGTGCTGCTTCTACTTTAGCATACAACCATGCCTGTAAAAAGAGGCAAGATTCAGTACTATACACTAGGATGCAAAGAAAGTCAGTTTTACAGCTTGCTCAAAGGTACATGTAGCGTGCACATACATCAGCCGTTTCTCCTCGCTGCTAGGGACATTACGCAGGAAAGATGCCTGTCTCAGCAACAGAAATTCCATGCTGATGACATAAATTAATGTTTACATATTAAACAGCTGGTCACGGAGTTCAAATGTTACTTTGTTCACTTTTATGTTTCTCCTGGTCGATTATGGTTAAGTTTTTCATCCTTCTGGAAGCAAGCTCCAGCAAAACTCGAATACTTCTAAAGAAGAATAAAATTCTACTAACATTGACTTTTTTTGGACATTCATCGAATTTACATTTCAGTTTTGTGGCCTTTTGTCTTTTGACTGTCATTCACAAGCAATAGTTGAAAAAAGTCAGTTCAACTACTACATCAACTAATCAGAGCTCCTGACCAGATTCTGGACAGATTTTACGTCAAGAGTATGGAATTTCTGTTGCTGAAGCACAGATGTCTTTCTCGCAAAATGTCTCTTGCGGCAAGGAGAGATGGCAGTATTTGCAGGATAGCCTCTAATTCTAGTGAAGTGTTATCTATATAGCCAGCATTTACTAGCCCAAAGTCATTTTAACTAGCCAAAAAAAATTTTATGAAATTAATTGATTACAGTTTTTCTGTTATTTGAACTCCCCCTGAAAACATCACTTGCCTGTTAGGCAGAACAGAATTCACATGCCTGCAAACAAAATCCACCAAGCCTGGGCTATCGGACATGACCTTTGCACACTGTTGTACCAGGATGTAAAGGGTTCTTATAAATCAGTACTTTGCTCAGCTCATAAATAGCATTGGCTACAGTATCAGTGCTTCCTTAACTTTTAAATATATTGAAGGGAACTGCATGACAATCTATATATTTTGTTTTAAGCATTTTCTGCTGGGTACCACCACATGACCTCCCCTGGATGACATTTTAATTTGGAGTAACTTGAGAATACCTAACCACCTAGGCACTTTAAACCATGCTCCATGGTCGTGTAGTGGGCTTTGGTTTAATTTTAAACAAGTGTTGAAATCACCTGCTACCAAGGTCTGCAGTTCCAAAGTAGTTGACTGTGAATTCAGACAAGTGGTGATTTCAATTAATCCCGAGGTTGTTAGTGAGTTTACACAACCACAGGACAGCAGGAAGAAGAGGATGGCAAAACACTTGTGCATGACAAGAGTAACTTTTATTGTGTGTTACATTCTCCCTTCTTTTACAAAAAGATCTGTTTAAAGGGAAGTGAAAGTTTGGCAAAAAGTTGTTTCACATATAATAATATTGTCACGTTTGTCACACAAGGTTTGCCGTCTTCTCTCCTCTCCATTCCTCTTGCATACAGGGGCGGATCTAGGGGGAGGGCGCAGGGGGTGTGCACCCCCCTGTTGAGATGACCTGCGGTTTTCTAATACAACTGGTATTCTCCTAAAAAAAAATGTGGTTTATTGGTGTTGAAGTAGAGCAAGAGACGAGTGCACCCCCTCCTAAAAAAAAAATCCTGGATCCGCCTCTGGCATAAGGTCACTATTGACTGTGAACTTACACAAATGTTGAAACAAACTTCTATTGCAGAATGCCTTCCTGAAGTCTATGAATACAAGCAGTTAAATGGGCTGTCACACCGCAGTTTGCAGTCCCAAAGTCACCAACTAATAAGTTTAGCAGAATGGCTGCCCCTTTTAAACTGGCTTAGTTGGCAGGGATTTGTGGATTAAAGAATGAGGTCATTATATATTACATGTATATCATGCTTGTTTCGCTTCACTGGAGTGCAGACCATGGTACTGTGGTAGCAGAACTGATCTAGTGTTCCTGACTGCAGACTGCGGTAGCAGGGGATGTTGGGGAAAATTTCGGTGGCCAGGTACAGTCAACCCACGCCTAGCGGACACCTCGCTATTATGGAGTCCAACATCACTAATACAGACAGCTCCTGAATTGCTGGCGAAAATTACAGATATTTGACTGGAACAAACTCCCGCTATTACGGAATCTCGCTATTGCGGACTTACAGACACCTCTCTCGGTCCCGACAGCACTATTTTATTGTTCTAACTCTCATTATAACGGACATCAATCAGCATCTTTTGACATTTAGGCAGAATTATCTCAAATTATAATTTACTTCTTCCTCTTTTTCTCTTTGTCTCTGCCACTTTGGTTGAAAAGTGAACATATTTCTGATTCCAGTTTAACATGATCTTTCTAAGAAACTACCGTGCTTACTTGCAAAAAACTGTCAAGATGTACATAATGTACATAAATTGGATTTCTAGTACCGTACTTTATGGTTTTTATGTTACTTCAAATTTTTCAGTGACTGTTGTGGTGAACAAAAGGGAGCTGCAACTTCTTTTCTGTTACGATTTGTTTCGTTTGCAAAAAAAGTTCTGATGCTCTTTAAATGTGAAAACTTCACTGCAATTGGTTCTAGAGACAATGTACAATATCCTCTAATATCAAGGAATTTTTTCTCACACCCTGTTATTACGGACTCTCGTTACATATGGACACTAAACTGCGGTATCAAGGGTGTCCCCAATAAATGGGAGTTGACTGTATTGTTAAGTTTAGCCAATCATTTTGAACTAAATTTTGGTGAAAAATATATGCATTTCTATTCTTGCTTTAACTTTTCAAAATAGTGGGCACTCAGTCAAAGGAAAATGAAGCGTTTCAACCTAAAACGTCATTAAAAAATAGCACGACCTGAGGACCTCATATGGTTAATGATCTTGATGCATATTTGATTATTCAACATAAACGTAAGGTTTTTGTCAACAAAATAAGTGTTCAACACTTACAATTCAACGAACAATGTACTCTTGACACATCAGGTGTTAATAGATTTTTATACTTCAACTATAAAGCGTTCACCCAAAATTGCGAGACTAATCATGCCAGGGACGTCATAAAAAAGCCAATATTCCTTGTCGTGTTAACAGTAGTCACGAATGTTCGATTCAAGAAGATCTGATCAGCATGCACCCACAGCTTCTACTTAGGTTTACTTATAAATTAATACGTTACTGAACACACACCTGGAATGCTCTATCTGCATCTTCTCTCCTTCTTTGCTGTTCTTCTCTTTCTCTTTCCTCTTCTTCTTTCTCTCTTCTTCGTTTCGCTTCCATGCATTTTCTTCTAATTTCGAGTTGTTGCTCAGTCATTGCGTATGGAGATTTAATATGAGAATATTCGTCGTTTTTTTGTCGAACAGCCTTCGCGCTCTGACTGCGAGTTCTTTCAGAACTTCGAGTAGTTCTTTTCTTTTCATTTCGTCGATGAAGTTCGTCCACTGATGTTGTTTTTGGTCTCGCTCTCGGTACAGATTTTTCTTCTACCATGTCCTTTGAAATATTTTCCGTTGCGTCGCTCGCGGTTCCTTCGCTCTCGGTTTTTTCGGCCTCCTTACTATTTGCTGTGTCAGTTGATATCCCTAACATGTCATAGTACTCGGCTTTGATTTCACTCACATCGACCAGTTCGAATTTACCGTCACGTTCTATAAGAACACGGTCTCCAATCATTTCCATAGCTGGACTTTTCGCGGGTGATTCCTGAGAGTCTTCCATGTTTCGACTTTCCGGTGATTCACTCGATTCGCCTTGGGTTGCACGCCTTTCACTTGCTGAGGAAGATTCACCATCTTCACTCAACGTCACGCCATTTTCGAACGCTTTTCTGACTTCGTCTTCTTCAGACGTCCTTGAGTTTTTGACGTAGGAAGAACCGCCATATTGTCCATCTGATCCTCCTACTCCGTTTTGTAACTGTTCATTTTCGTTGTTGTCATCTTCCTGCATCATTTTCTCCATTTCTTTCTCGTCAATACTACTGTCTGAATCTGATCGCGTTCGAGTGAAATCTGGGTCGCTGGGTTCACCTTCTTCTTCCGAAAATGATGCCCGTGTTATTGAAATCCGAACATTGCTAGGATTACGTGGATTAGCGTCGACTTCGTCCACATCATTCTCCATGGTTTCCGCGTGTATTCAATGAGTAATTCGTCAAGGTTTCTATTCTAACGACTAATCATAGGGTTGTTTATATTCCCCTTATTGTTCGTATCACCTGTAGCAACATAACGTTGTGCACGTGACCGCATAAATTTACAGTAACGCCCCACTGGAACTAATCTCAGCGGACACGATTTTAAGGCTCAAATGGATGTTTAAGCGTCACGGAAAATCCCAAGATGCTATACTCTTCTGGCCAGACGCGCCAATTTGAAAATCCAAGCTGTTTTAAATAACAGATGGTATACTTTCCTTCTTTTTAAAAATATTTGTTTTCTTGTTAAATGCGTTTTTTCCGACGGCACAAAAACTCGAAATAAATGCACGCGATTTTCGCACTCACATACCATTTGTTGTTTATTTTATTTGCGTTCGAAAAGGGAGGGGAGGGGTAACTCAATAGAAAATGTTTTCCGTGTTTGCATAGCCTGATATAAACACGAGAGGGGTTGGGAGAATTCGAGTTATGCAAACCCGAGACGAAGTCGAGGGTTTGCATAACTGTCGAGAATCCTCAAAATCCCTCGAGTGTTTATATCAGGCTATGCAAACACAGGAAAAAAGTTTTCCATTGCTTTTATGAAATAACTCTCCCGAGAAAAAGCGCAAACTCTTTGTTACGGTCCTGATTAAAAGAGAAATTCATACCAGTCGCAAAGTCTTATACACGAAGTCTTGCACGCTTAACCAGTTCTTGTTTTGCAAAAAGATGCTTTCCAAAATACGGATTTTTCTGGCTTAAAATGTCAGCTTAAGCGAAAAAAAAATTGACACACCTTCTTTGTAACGATTTTCCAAGTTTCAGCCGACAAAGGAATGGGAAAATAAAGTAAACCTGTCGAGTTTTGAACTTGAAAACTTTTTCAAATTTGTGCTTGCGTGATTAGCGCGCGGAAAACAAAACATCTTGACGCCACAACCATGTTTTACATAGGGTGCGTTAGATTGGGAAATCTGGATTTAGATTTTGAAAATCCGGATTTCGGATTTGCAGTCGACCGCGAAATCCGAAAACGGATTTCAACGCTGAGATATCTGTTTTTGGATTTTCATTTTTACCGTTCGATTGGGAAATCCGAAAAAGGATTTGAAAAACTGTGCTTAAGAACAACGGTCTTGCACGCGCACGCATACTTAGCAAAAAGAAGACCACTGTTCACGAGAATAGTTTTGCAAATCCTTTTTCGGATTTCCCAATCGAACGGTAAAAAGAAAATCCATGAAATCCGGATTTGGATTTCTTAATTGAAATCCACCCTGATGACGGATTTCTCGGAGGTTTAATCCGTTTTCGGATTTCACGTTCGATTGGGAAATCCGGATTTAGATTTTGGAAATCTAAATCCGGATTTCCCAATCGAACGCACCCTATACTCTCATGCAAAAACTCCTCTCGGCCAATCAGAGCGCGCGTACCATCTAATCACTGATTCACCTCCAGTTCCGCCGAGCGTCGAGCGAGGCCAAACTCGCGTAAGTTGCGAGCAAAGTGCCTGCTGCCGTAACAAACAAAAAATTTCACAACTAATCAAGCAAGCTGTTCCCGAAATACACGAAGAAGGTGACGAAGTTCGGTTTGGAAGTTTTAACAGGTAAAGCTTTGTCTTTTTGACTCGAATTTATCGATAAAACCGGTCAAAACGTTTTTTGTTTACAAATGCTTAAGTCTTGCGTGACTTTATTTGGTTGACTTGTTGATGAATAAACTTAAAACTAAACCTAATAATCTTTTTTTACAGACTGATTTTAAATACAAAAAGAATTCACCACTCCTTTTGAAGAAATATCCCCGCAAGAGCTAAACAAATGCCTTCAAAAGTTTTATTTGTCGGCAAGACAAAGCGACGGCCGCGGCCGTTCGGTCATTACAAGCCAAAATTGTAATCGTTGGCAACAGTATTTCAGTTAAAAATAATCGTTTTTTTGCTCAATTATCTCACTGTTTTAGTATATACTAAAACAATTATTCACCTCAGTGTCAGTGGCTAGTGGTGGATATTTACCTCGCTGCTTCGCAGCTCGGTAAATAGTTACGACTAGCCGCCTTCACTTCGGTGAATAATTGTTATATATACTCAAATTTATAACTACTGCCATCTTGATTTCCCTGTTTTATAATTATTTATTCCATCACAGATCATCTTGATAATACCATTTAATTTAATGAATTCAATTAATACCATTTAATACCATTTAATTTGAAGTGCCCGTTTTGCCGCATTCATACTTTTATAGTGAGTCTCTTCTTTTGTACTAAGATTAATTGCTTTAACACACCTCCTATTTCGATAGTTCTTAGCCACAAATGAATAATCACGATTTTTAGCTGATTTTTTACAATTTAGCTGTTGAGTCAAAAGCTGTAGGTTGCATAATGTGAATTATCTGACCATCTCTGGAAGCAGCATATAAATTATATATAGATTGGATGAACATAATAAGCGCATTCATTAATAACTAACTGATTTGAAATATGGAAATTAACTTCTTTCTCTTGAAAATCCGAAATAGGGCCATTTTTTGCTTCTTTCTGATTAGCATTATTTTTCCCATTATTTCTATTACTCTCCATAGAGCTACTTATAGTATAGTAATATCGCCTTGAATAGTTTATGCTTCCAGGAAAAACCCAGTTAGCCACTTCCAGGAATTCCCATCAAAGTGGACAAGAAATAGAAACTCATTTTTGCACCACCCAAAATGAAATTGAGATCGAATTTCACTTTGACACCCCTCAAAATGAAATTGAAATTGAAAATCAACTTGGCACCCCCAAAATGAAATTGAAAATCTTATCCAATTCCATGAAAAACCCAGTCGGCAACTTCCAGGAAATCCAAAGGTCAAATCCCAAGGTCAGACCTAACACAAAACCCAAAAATAAAAAGTGGGCCCGTAACCCCAACTCGTATACGTCCAAGGTCAAATCCAAAAAAATGCTGACGTCAGCAAAATCCCAAGGTCAAGGTCAAACGGGTATAATCCTTTCGACAGATTCATAGATACGACAGGTATCAGTTCCTTCCTATCACGGCATGCGCACCAGTCTTCCGTAAGCTTGAGAAGCGTTGTCTTGCAACAGTGCGAAGTCGCCTATAAGCGGAAATGAAGTCGGACAACAGACCTTGGTAGAAATCCTGCAATCGATCCGAAAGCAAGTCTTTCAAAAATATTGTTCAAGCAGGGTAGAACAGCAACAGGCCTGTAGTTTCGTTTATCTAATTCCTATCGAGAGCGAGCAGAAGTCTGTTCAACCCGGGGGGTACGTCCTAGTAACAGGCTAATGGGTATGTTCTACTGGATTGGGCCGCATTTTCACGACTGGATTGACTATTATGGAGTTGCATGTTTATAAGAGTCACTAGAATGGGGTTGCACATTTTCAGGATTTTGGGGGTCAGAAACTAAGGTATGTAGGGATTTAATAATAGAAAGATTTACACCACATTAAGCTTCATAAACGAATCAGTTCATTTCGGGATCACCAAATTAAAAGGCCTTATATGCCAGAAGCATAGACAGAAAGAGACTAAGTTGGGATTGTGCAAATTACTATTTTCCCGCCACATACCCAGAAAAAATTAGCCCCCCAAACGCGCTGTTCAACAAGTACACAACGATGAGAGCTCCCTGTTGTCAACCTCGTTCCCAGGGCTTTTCCCTTAAGCCCTGGGGACGAGGTTGCCCTGTTGCACATGAGTGACTAAATGAGTGTCTAATGGTGAATCAGTGCAACTGGAACTGCCCTATTAAGCGTTTGTTTCCAAAGTTTAAAAATCCAGTGTAGCTTGAAATATGTCAAACAGACATTTTCCAGTTACTCCATGCCATACTAAGACATCACCGGGTTTCTTCAGGTTGACACAGGTTGTGTTAATTGGTGGTTCCTTCATACGAAATTTGTTCATGTATTTCGGTTTCACTCCAGCTTTTTCTGCAAGCATACCAATGTAAACATCGTCGATTTTAAACCAGGGAACAACGTCAAATAACTCCACGAACAAATAAACCACATCAGAAGACAAGACAAATCCGTATCCAGCACAGAAGTCTGGATAGAATGTTTGGTTATATTCTTCAAACGAAACTTTCCATTTTCCTTTTCTCTGAACGCGGTTCCTCTCATCGCATTGTCCCATGTATAACTTTGTTTTAAGTATTGCAGGCTTGGCAAGAAGTGAAATCAAACTTTTAACGTCAACAAATGTATCGTCGTCCATTTTTAAAAGAAACGAAAAATTACAGTACAAGGAAACCCACTCAAACGCCATTTGTATCTTCAGGGTCTGATTCCAGTAACTTTCAAAGTAATCCGCGCGTATGAGGTCTCCGAAGGTTTTGCCTTCTCTCAACAGTGCTTCCGACTCCGTTCGGTTTAGCGTTTGAGCAACAAGAAAAACTGTCTTCCATCTCGGGTTTAGAGAACTATCGACCCCCCAGGTTAGCCGGATATCTCTCCTTCTCTGGGCATTATAGGATGCGGAGGAGACCAATACTAGAAGAAAGTAGGGCCACCCACAGCTAGTCGTAGTTATTAGAGTTGTCTTGTGCTGCTTTAATTGTTCACTTGATTGTGTCGTTGAAAATATATTTGTTGGCGAACTCGCATTTGACATGACCATCGCCAGCTCTTGCAATTCTCCCTGATATTCTAGAACACGGTACGAGCGTAGAAAAGTCTGCTGAACAACATGGGAAATATGCCAGAACAGAAACCCTCCAAGTGCTAGAAATAGACAGAGGATAACTTTCTTGAGAGTTCGTCTGGGAACTAGCAACATGGCCCGCTTTGGAGGAATCCGTGTAGCAGTCTCCAACACCTGATGAAATGGAATGAAAAAAGTAAACAAAAAAATTAATAAACAATTTTCCGCTATTTAGCCTCGACAGTATTTATAGCACCAATACTAGTTGGGGGGGGGGCAAGGATGGTGGGAGAGAAGCGCAGACAGTGCAAATGTCTGGAAATTAACTAGAAATAGTTGACACTACAGCTGCCCCGCTCTGTATATTGTCGGTCAATAGTATTCTTGCTCGTTGTGTAGCCGTCTTTGAAATATACTGATTCATAATGAAGATGTTCACACATATTCCATACAATAGGTGAGATAAATACAGGAAATAAACGCAAGGTTCCATGTACAGTTTCGGTTCATTTACACAGCTGATCAAAACAATTTTCAGTTTCGAGAATAGTTTATTCTAAACCATAAGAAAAGGTTTAATTAGAAGTTGAATTTTTCGCTATTTTTATTACACTTTTTACATTTAGTTCATTTTATTTGCCGGAAAGTAATCCTTAGAAATTAAAAGGACGTTTGATCAATTCACGCTCGCGCATTCTAGTCTTGTTTTAAACTTATATGGAGGAAGGACATCTGTGGGCAGGGAATAAGTCAGCACAGAATTTGATGGTCGGCGAATTTCTGTAATCGTCCATCGTTCTGCCATTGATGTATAAGCTAGCCGTTGAATCATTCACCCGTCTTGCTTGTTTGGGGCCGAGTCTTATTCCGGTCAAAGAAAGAGAAAGAGTGTCTGCCAAGGTCTCCAATAAAAGACTTGTGACCTTTTGTCTGGCAAACTCACTTGGTGTTAAAATATACACTGCTATATGCACCTTATAACTTCATCTGCGCTTAACAAGTGTCTTTTGGCCCATAACTTTCATAACAACTGCTCAAGAGAATGTCACTGATAACACGTAACGCAGAAGAGTATCGAAGTATGACTGCACAATTAATGTCACAAAATGTACCTATTGTAAGCAGTCCCTCCGGGATTTTTTGTGTTTTACGTCATCCTAACCATTTTGCATTACCTACCGATTCCTCGCGTCCCCTGTTCAAGCAAATCGAGATTTTTTGTATATTGACTGTATGACTGTATATTTCAACAGTAAGTACTTTAGTATAGGCGCGAGTTACTTGAGTGCCTCCTCGGGATTTCGCCTTCTAGGCGAAGTCCCTGCGGGGGCAATAATATAAATCAAATATAATGAGATAAGAATCTCAACTGGCCGGAGTTGGATATTTACAGGGGTGGTCGAGAATTCTAACTTTCAACTCGGGACTACCGAGAACAAATCGAGCTAGCAATCAGGGAGGGACTTGAACTCGAGACCTCTGAACTGCAAGTCCAGCGTTATAACCTCTCGGCTACGGTGCCTCCTCTAAATAATCTGTAAGAAGAATAGGAACTCTTCCAGTCAAACTCAAATAAGAGATCAGGAGACACGACTAATGCAACGTTCAGGTGATACACAAGTAGCGTATAGATAAAATAGGTTTGAGAAATCAAACTATGTTGACCCAGCGAACTGTACCGCAAATGATCCCCGCCTGCGAATGATCCCCAAAATGGACCCCCAAATGATCCTCGACTCCTTAATGATCCTCTACCTCACATGATCCCTTTATGGACTTCTGGAGTTCTGTCCGGCGTTAAGCAATTTGTTTTTCTCAGGTATGTGATTTCCGACCCTGCTAGGAAGAGTTGAATTGTTTGAAGCTTTCCCTGCTACTGTAATTCAGCAGGGGATGGAAGCTGTGACAATCAGTTGGAATAGATCTAAGACACAGCATTGACTTGTGAAGGTCCTGTCCACTGAGATTTCACAGCCTTGTCTAAAATGTTTTTGACAGAATGAAGTTGTCACTCAATACACCCATTGGAATGGACGTTATGTTGATTGTAGCTTTTCCGCGCTCTAGCCTCAATGTTAGAATGCACAGGACACAGCTGACACTTTCGTAATACCTTGGTGAGCCTGATTTATCTTCTCTATGATGTCATCTCTTTGTGATTCTGAAATAATCACTCTTTCTCCCTCGAGGACCAAGCCTCCCACGCAGGCGTTTTTAGGGGAGCTCGTTTTTCATCCTTGTGGGGAGGGATGAAAAACGAGCTCCCCTAAAAACGCCTGCCTGAGAGGCTATTGAGGACCAGACTGTTTTCAATAGACAGTTCATCCCGGTAGGCCCAGTGGCTTACTTAGCACTGCAACTTGGTTATGTTTTTAGGCCAGCCAGAGTAGAGCTGAAGTTCAGGATTAGACGAGGTGTCTTGCTTCAGTGCATTGAACTTCTCATCAAGGAATTGCACTACTTTGCGTAGGTCCAATGACTCTTCACTTGGTAGACGGTTTGGTCTGGCGAGCAAAAGGCATTTCTGTGCCAGGTTTGTACTTGACAATGAAGTCATATCCTTGTATTCTGAGCAACATTCTCTTAACAGTGAAGCTTTAGTTTACAGTTAACATATTTTTTAAAACCGCCATTCACGGAAATTATTCGACATTAGATTCTCATACAAACACTGTACTTTCTCACGTCTGGTTTGCCTACTCGTGAAGATGGCGTCGAAAACCGTGACAAGGTCGATTGATTCAGCGCCGAACTTTTCATGTACTTAATTCAATGTATTGGGTTCGGCTCATGAAAAGATCGGCGTCTGAACCAGGCCTTAGAGTTGTTTGCTCTTCATAACGTGAAATTCGTATTCCTTCTACTTCAAATCCCATTCAGCTGCGTTTCTGATGTTTCTTTATATTATAGTAATTTGGTCAAAGCAAAGCCTAAAAGCGGTCTTGATTTTTTCTTTGTTTTAGAGATCGTAGAGTCTTTTGATAGCTTTACGGAGACCCTCTGACCCTCTGTAAGCGAAGTTACCTGAGGAACAGTTCAAATCCCTGAGCGGCGAGTTTAAGATAAGCCCATACTGACCTTGTCCGAAAGAATGAATCCTTGGGAAGCAACTTTGTGGTCCCCTGCCAAGGCTGGAAAAATGGAACTGAGTTTATCGCGTGTTTTTCGGCTGAAATATCACATCATGAATTGTCGTGATGTTAACTGATGCGGAAGAAGAAAGTTCATATTGAATCCAGATTATTTGTCTTATCGAATACTAGTATCGAATAGCACTTCGTGATTATTTCATTAGAATGTTTTTCTCTCCGGCCTTTTGTGGTTTAACATTGGCATATTTAACAATTAATCCTCGAGCCCGAATGGGCTCTGAGTTAATAGCCCATGGGGCCGAAGACCGAATGGGCTATTGACTCAGGGGCCATGAGGGCGAGAGGAATAATTGTCTTAGTAAAATCCAACTAGTTGGTCAAAAATATCGAGAATAAAAAAAATTAGCTAGTTAAAGCTAGACTTTAATCCTTTTTTGCTGCCAAAAAGCACGCGCTTTTCGCTACTAGTGGGCTATAACATATAGCCTAGTAATAGCTCAACCAATCAGAACGCAGCATTGATAACAGACCACCAGTTGGATTTTACTAAAATGGTGTTATGCACCAATGATTGGTCAAGGGTACGGGAGATTTTATTTTATTGAACTCCCACTAAGTTTGGTCACGTTCATGACTTGTAATTAAATCTTTTTTGACCACACGGGGCCAACACAACAACAACAACAACAAGTTTATTCAGTATTACCATTTTGTACAGGCGTTACCGATTAAAATAACAATAATAAACAGCTAAGTTTAAGGAAATGCAGATATGATTGAACGGTAGAATTAACTATGTTTCTTTCGTCTTTCAAATGCTTGAAAGATGAAATTAGCAGCTAGCCTGCTGATATGTGAATCAGTATTGTTAAAAAGAAAACAGACTTTATCATGGATATTGTCATGTGTAAATAATGTATTTCGGTCGTTGATTTTAACGAAAAGAGTCTTTCTCAAATCATTGAATTGATCACAGTGAAATAATATGTGTAGTTCATTTTCAACCGAATTTTGGTTGCAATGATCACAGATTCTAAGGTCCTCAGGAGTTTTGGGGATTGTAAATCTTCCAGTTTCTATTTTTAAATTATGATTTCCTATCCTAAATTTGGAAGCTACAGGCCTATGTTCAGGATTCCGGATATGATTGATGAATTCAGAGAGATCTGTTTCATTTTTAAAGATGGAGTAGAATTTTAGTTTTTTATTTGTTCTTATCAAATTTAGCTGGTGGTTTTTCAGATGTTTTGACAATTATTCTCAGCTTCGGATAGGAAAGTAGAAGGGTTTTTAAAGTCAACTGACTGTTTATGAATATTAAGTTATGTGCTCAAAAGATTTATTTTATTTATTAGACCTGATTTATTTTCTTCGGCCATTTTATCCGATATGTTTAAGCAGAGTTTAGCAATGCTGTCACGGGGTGATTTTCAAGGTGAATCCAAAATTTGAAAATGTTCATTGTTATTTGTAAATTTAGAGATAATCTACCAAGTTCATTTCTCGATGCAACATTCGGTGAACGTTTGTTTAAACCTAAACACATCTTACAAAAATGTATATGCGTTTTCTCAATCGAGTCTTTATCCCAGCGGCTATAATCACTTTTATCATAGATTCCCCAGACTTCAAAGCAATACGTTAAAATTGGGAAAAATAGTGTATTGAACAGTTTGTTGATGAGGTGAATTGGTAATTTTAGAAAATCTAGATAACGACGAGCGGCAAAAAAGGATCTCTTTGTTTTTTCTGTTAAGTTTTCCTTGTGATTTGTAAAATTTCCATTGGCAGAAAATTTCACTCCAAGATAGGTATAGTTATTGACGATTTCAATGTTTTCATTGCTAACCATAAAATTGTGTTAATCTATTGCTGATTTTCTACTTTTCTTCTGAAATACAGTAACTTTGGTTTTAGTTGGATTAATCTGAAGAAGCCAATCCTGACAATAATTTGTGAGTGTGTCAAGACTTTGTTGCAAACCTTCTGCAGAGGTAGATATTAGAAGTAAATCATCGCTATAAAGTGGACAGTTTAAGTGAGAACTATCTGGTAGTAAGATAGAATCTTTAGCATTGTTATTTAGAACGTGTTTTTTATAATAAATGTACTGGATTTAGCGTTTGCTTCATCTGTGGCGGTATATGGCTAAAATGTGCATGGATCAATTCTAAAGAAAGGTTGAGTTACCTTAACCTACGGTAAGTTGTCGTCCTTTTGCCTCAGAAGTGGTATTTTGAGCGATTTGAAGGATTTTTAGTTCACTATCTTGTCCTTTACATTTCGATTTTTCTTCTTCCCTCTTTTTTCGCTTTTGTTGCCTCATTTTTTTTTCTTTTGCTGGGAATTTAGAAGGCTTTATTTTGGTGGGAAAATGTTTTAGGAAAGCTTTTAGGATCTTAGGATTAGATGAAAGGAAAGGTAGGTGGGTAGAGGAACAAGAGTTTCATGGAAACTTTCTGGTCAATGTTACATTGTTTTTTACCTTTTCCACGTTGTGCGTGACTGAATTGTCCTTATTCTGGTATGGTTTGAAAGATCTCTTCACTCTACACAAGTCAGCGGTCAAAGTTGTCCTTGACCATTAAAGCTGAAGACGTCACAAGCGGTAGAAGGGACGCGAATCTGCACGGGCGGTCACGGGCGGCTCAGGAACGAATAGGTTAAGTTTTGTTTTTGAAGTAGAATGTCGTCCCCATCCACATACAGTCCTGAACTAGTCTTTTTCACTTTTTCCCACCAAGGATGAGCCTGATTGAGCAAATTAAAATTGCCGTGACACGAATAGAAATCCGTGAAATAAGTTAGAAAAAGAAATAAGAAGAATTAGAAATAAGTTATTAAAAACGGACTGCCAGAAACCACAGACTTCCGTCGAAATTATCAACATAACGCGAATTTTAATTACTCTCAGTTGACACTACACAAAACTACCCAAGACTACAGTTTATACAGATCATTTTGAAATTCAATCAATCAATCAAAGCTAAACCTTAGTTTATTTTCAAGCGAAAGTTTTCAAGACTATAAAACTATAAACTTTATAAATGAGAACGGTGATCATTTAGAATATCTCAATAGGTTTTCAAGGTTTCAAGTTTATTTCACACTATTCAAGTTGATACAGTATAAGATGGCTTACAGAATCAGTAGGTTAACAAATAATGAAAAATAAATATAATGATATGCAAGTTTGTTGATATGTGCACAGTGACCAAAGTAGCCGAAGCTTTTGTGTTGGTCACTGTCCCATTTAAGTAAATAGAGGAGTACAAGATATAAGTGTGTGGTAATAATAAATTAGGTTACGGAGAATACTTGTTTATATAGAATTTTTTCTAGACTTTTTGATACAGTGCAATAAAGTACTTTACTAAAGTTTATAATAAAAAAAAAAAGGAGAAAAAAGGAGAATAAAATTACCTAATTAGATATTAGTATTCCTGCGTTGTTCGAAGAAGTATCGAAGTATGACTGCACAATTAATGTCACAAAATGTACCTATTGTAAGCAGTCCCTCCGGGATTTTTTGTGTTTTACGTCATCCTAACCATTTTGCATTACCTACCAATTCCTCGCGTCCCCTGTTCAAGCAAATCGAGATTTGTTGTATATTGACTGTATGACTGTATATTTCAACTGTAAGTACTTTAGTATAGGCGCGAGTTACTTGAGTGCCTCCTCGGGATTTCGCCTTCTGGGCGAAGTCCCTGCGGGAGCAATAATATAAATCAAATATAATGAGATAAGAATCTCAACTGGCCGGAGTTGGATATTTACAGGGGTGGTCGAGAATTCTAACTTTGAACTCGGGACTACCGAGAACAAATCGAGCTAGCAATCAGGGAGGGACTTGAACTCGAGACCTCTGAACTGCAAGTCCAGCGTTATAACCTCTCGGCTACGGTGCCTCCTCTAAATAATCTGTAAGAAGAATAGGAACTCTTCCAGTCAAACTCAAATAAGAGATCAGGAGACGCGTCTAATGCAATGTTCAGGTGATACACAAGTAGCGTATAGATAAAATAGGTCTGAGAAATCAAACTATGTTGACCCAGCGAACTGTAGCGCAAATGATCCCCGCCCGCGAATGATCCCCAAAATGGACCCCCAAATGATCCTCGACTCCTTAATGATCCTCTACCTCACATGATCCCTTTATGGACTTCTGGCGTTCTGTCGGGCGTTGGGCAATTTGTTTTTCTCAGGTATGTGATTTCCGACCCTGCTAGGAAGATTTGAATTGTTTGAAGCTTTCCCTGCTACTGTAATTCAGCAGGGGATGGAAGCTGTGACAATCAGTTGGAATAGATCTAAGACAAAGCGTTGACTTGTGAAGGTCCTGTCCACTGAGATTTCACAGCCTTGTCTAAAATTTTTTTGACAGAATGAAGTTGTCGCACAATACACCCATTGGAATGGACGTTATGTTGATTGTAGCTTTTCCGCGCTCTAGCCTCAATGTTAGAATGCACAGGACACAGCTGACACTTTCGTAATACCTTGGTGAGCCTGATTTATCTTCTCTATGATGTCATCTCTTTGTGATTCTGGAATAATCACTCTTTCTCCCTCGAGGACCAAGCCTTCCACGCAGGCGTTTTTAGGGGAGCTCGTTTTTCATCCTTGTGGCGAGCGATGAAAAACGAGCTCCCCTAAAAACGCCTGCCTGAGAGGCTACTGAGGACCAGACTGTTTTCAATAGACAGTTCATCCCGGTAGGCCCAGTACTTACTCAGCACTGCAACTTGGTTATGTTTTTAGGCCAGCCAGAGTAGAGCTGAAGTTCAGGATTAGACGAGGTGTCTTGCTTCAGTGCATTGAACTTCTCATCAAGGAATTGCACTACTTTGCGTAGGTCCAATGACTCTTCACTTGGTAGACGGTTTGGTCTGGCGAGCAAAAGGCATTTCTGTGCCAGGTTTGTACTTGACAATGAAGTCATATCCTTGTATTCTGAGCAACATTCTCTGGAGCCTTGGGCCGGCGGGACAGCTGTAAGATTCTTCAAGTGAATCATCTCAAGAGGTTTGTGATCTGATCGACTCTTCCAAACAAGTACGAGCGAAATTTCTCACAAGCAACAACAACAACAGCAAAGCATCTCGCGCTCAATATTTGCATATCGTTTCTCGGTGTCTGTGAGTGCTCTGGATGAGAAAGCAACATTTTTTTAATTCTTCGTGTTGATTCGTGCACTAGGACGACTGTTTCCTTTTTATGATCAAAATACGTAAGTGAGACTTGAAGATGAACTTTCACGATATTACTTGAGCTCATTTTGACCCAGTTCTTGTTAAGCCCAGGCTTAATTTTATGGCTTAATGGCAGCTACGGCTTTTTTATCTCCTCCTGCTGTTTTAGAAGGCTACTGAGTTGAGCAAAGTTTTGATATCGTTCTGTATTAAACGGTCCCCACATTCAACGTACACCTTGTATTAAGCAGACGATAGCTCAGTATGTTCTAGGCCCGGTTCAGTCGTCGAACTTTTCATGAGCCAAACATAATTCGAATTAAGGCCGACCCAAATTATTTAGACCGGCTGAACTGATTCAGACTCCTTTCTTAATTGCAGCTGAACTAAGTTCAAAAGGCGAAAAATGCTCATTTCCGTCAAACTGCTTGCAAAATACGTTATAATGCGTTATAATATGTTATAATGCGATAGGTTCGATACCTGTAAAGTCCGGCGTCTGAATCAAAGCCTTTCCAAAGTCGCTCCAAAGGCGAAATTCTCGGCCGGGCTAGGCAAAACTGAACGGCTGAGCCGTTACAAATTGAAACAGGCGTTCCTAAAAGACCTTGTCACTGTTTTCGACGTTATCTTGACGAGTAGGCAAACTCGTGAGAAATTACAGTGTTCGTATGAGAATCCAATGTCGAATAATTTCTGTAAAACCGCTGTTCTGGAAAAATATGAACTGTAAACTAAAGCCACACAGCAAAGGATTTTACCTACAAATTTTGGGGGCCGTTACTGTGCTTAAATTTCTCCAGAAGCTTGCTTTAGATTTTCCATATATTTGTCGGCAATTTTTCCCCCGAAAGTTTTACAGACAAACGTATTAGAAAATTTTCAAAAAAGGTTCTAAGTCTTCTAGCGCATGTAACGCCCTCAAATTTTTTAAGTAGAATCCTTAACAGTGAAGGTTTAGTTTACAGTTCACATATTTTTTAAAACCGCCATTCACGGAAATTATTCGACATTAGATTCTCATACAAACACTGTACTTTCTCACGTCTGGTTTCCCTACTCGTGAAGATGGCGTCGAAAACCGTGACAAGGTGGATTGATTCAGCGCCGAACTTTTGATGTACTTAATTCAATATATTGGGTTCGGCACGTGAAAAGATCGGCGTCTGAACCGGTCTTCAGAGTTGTTTGCTCTTCATAACGTGAAATTCATATTCCTTCTACTTCAAATCCCATTCAGCTGTGTTTCTGATGTTTCTGTATAGTAATTTGATCAAAGCACTGCCTGGAAGCGGTCGAGCTCTTGTTCTTTGTTTTCGAGATCGTAGGGTCTTTTAATAGTTTTAGGGAGAGCCTCGGTGAGCGAAGTTACCTGAGGAACAGATCAAATCCCTAAGCGAGTTTAAGATAAGCCCATACTGACCTTGTCCGAATGAATCCTTGGAAAGCAACTTTGTGGTCCCCTGCCAAAGCTGGAAAAATGCAACTGAGTTTATCTCGTGTTTGTCAGCTGAAATGGCATCATGAATTTTCGTGATGTCAACTGATGCGGAAGAAGAAAGTTCAGATTGAATAGAAGTTATTTTTCTTATCGAATAGTATTGAATAGAAATCCGCGATTATTTGTCTTTCATTTGAATGTTTTTCTCCGCGGCCTTTTAATATAAGCATATAATGGGGTTATGCACCAAGCACCAATTCTTCACATACCTGAGAAAAACAAATTGCCCAACGCCCGACAGAACGCCAGAAGTCCATAAAGGGATCATGTGAGGTAGAGGATCATTAGGGAGTCGAGGATCATTTGGGGGTCCATTTTGGGGATCATTCGCGGGCGGGGATCATTTGCGCTACAGTTCGCTGGGTCAAGATAGTTTGATTTCTCAGACCTATTTTATCTATACGCTACTTGTGTATCACCTGAACGTTGCATTAGTCGTGTCTCCTGATCTCTTATTTGAGTTTGACTGGAAGAGTTCCTATTCTTCTTACAGATTATTTAGAGGAGGCACCGTAGCCGAGAGGTTATAACGCTGGACTTGCAGTTCAGAGGTCTCGAGTTCAAGCCCCTCCCTGATTGCTAGCTCGATTTGTTCTCGGTAGTCCCGAGTTGAAAGTTAGAATTCTCGAC